TGTACCTTCAGGCACTACTAGTCCATCCACAGGAGGATCACAGACAACTGGACTGTCAGCCAAAGAAGCACGGACAACAGAACAAGCAGCTGGAAGATCAGGGACCACAGGACCATTCCATGGACGTTCAGGAACAACAGGACAATCCGTTTTAAGTTCATGGACGACTGGGCCATCATCTGAAGAAATAAGGACAACCAGACCTTCATTGGTAAAGTCCAGCACCACTGGAATATCAGCTACAGGATCAGCCACAACTGGACAGTCATTTGAAGTATCTGAGTCCCCTGAGCCATCATCTGAAGTATTCAGAACAACTAGATCATCAACTCGTATATCAAGTACAGCTGGCCTATTTTCTGGTGGGTCAGGGAAAACTGGACCATCTGTTGTAGGATCAGAAACATCTGTGCCATCAGCAGGATTGACAGGGACCTCTGGTCCATCACCTGGGTTTGCAACAATTGGACAGTCATCTGTAGGGTTGAGGACAACTGTGTCCTTGGCTGGAAGATCAGAAACCACTGCAACCTCCATTGTAAGTTCAGGCACTACCAGTCCATCCACAGGAGGATCACAGACAACTGGACTGTCGGCCAAAGAAGCAGGGACTACAGAACAAGCAGCTGGAATATCAGGGACCACAGGACCATTCCATGGACGATCAGGAACAACAAGACAACCTGTTTTAGGTTCAGGGACAACCTTACCAACTTCTAAAGAAATAAGGACCACGAGACCTTCATTGGTAAAGTCCAGCACAACTGGAGTACTGGCTACAGGATCAGCCACAACTGCACTGTCCTCTGGAGTATCTGAGTCCACTGAACCATCATCTGAAGTAATTGGTAAAACTAGATCATCAACTCATATATCAAGTACAACTGGTCTATTTTCTGGAGGTTCAGGGACAACTGGAATGTCTGTTGTTGGATCAGGAACAACTGTACCATCAACAGGATTGACAGGTACCTATGGTCCATCACCTGCATTTGGAACAACTGGACAATCATCTGTAGTATCGAGGACAACTGAGTCATTGGCTGGAATATCAGAAACAACTGAAACCTCTGTTTTTAGTGCAGGGATTACTGGTCTGTCCACAAGAGGATCTCATAGAACCGGACCACCTGCTGAGGAAACTGGGATAACAGGACGAGCTGGTGGAGCTTCAGGGACCACAGGACTGTTCCATGGATTATCAGGAACAACAGTACATTCTGTTTTAGGTTCAGAAACAACAAGAAAATCTGTTGTTTTGTCAGGAACAACTGTACCATCATCTGGAGTGACAGGAATAACTGGACCATCAACTATGGAATTGGGAACAAGTAGATCATTAGCCAGTATATCGGAGAACACTGGGGCATTAATGAGTGGATCTGGGGTGACAACAGGACCATCTTTTGTAGGATCAGGCATATCTGTACCATCAGTAGGATTGACAGGGACCTCTGGTCCATCACCTGGATTAGCAACAACTGGATCATCAGCTGGAGGATCAGGGATAACTGGAGTATATTCTGGAATATCAGAAACAACTTCCACCTCTGTTGTAAGTTCAGCGACTATTGGTCCATTTACAGGAGGATCACAGACAACTGGACTGTCAGCCAAAGAAGCAGGGACAACAGAACAAGCAGCTGGAGAATCAGGGACCACAGGACCATTCCATGGTCGATCAGGAACAACAAAACAATCTACTTTAGGTTCAGGGATGACCTTACCATCTTCTAAAGAAATAAGGACAACTAGATCTTTGTTGGTAAAGACAGGCACAACTGGAGTATCAGCTACTGGATCAGCCACAACTGGACTGTCATCTGGAGTATCTGATTCCACTGGACCATCATCTGAAGTATTAGGAACAATCAGATCATCAGCTGGTATATCAGAGACAACTGGACCATCAACAAGTGGATCTAGAATGACAAGAGGACCATTTTTTGTAGAATCAGGAACATCTGTACCATCAATAGGATTTACAGGGATGTCTGGTCCAGAGCCAACTGAATCATTCACTGGAAGATCAGAAACAACAGCAACCTCTACTGTAAATTCAGGTACTAGTGGTCTCTACAATGGAGGAATCCAGACAAATGGGCTGTCAGCTAAAGAAGCAAGGACAACAGGACCGTTTCGAGGAGGGTCAGGAACAACTGGAAGATTTTTTGTAGGTTCAGGGACAACTGTGCCATCATCTAGAGTGGAAAGCATAACTGGACCATTATCTGGAATGACAGGAATAACTGGACCATCAGCTGAGGAATTAGTAACAACTAGTTCATCAGCTGGTATATCAGAAACAACTGGATTATCAATGCGTGGATCTGGGATGACAGCAGGACCATCTGTTGTAGAGTCAGGAACATCTGTATCATCAGTAGGATTGGTAGGGACATCTAGCCCGTCACATGGGTTAGGAATAACTGGGCCATCAGCTGAAGGAGCAGGGACAACTGGATCATTTTCTGGAAGATCAGAAACAACATCAATCTCTATTATAAGTTCAGGTACTAGTGGTCCCTACATAGGAGGAATCCAGACAACTGGAAAATCTATTGAAGAAGCCGGGACAACAGGACCAACAGCTGGAGGTTCAGGGACCACAGGACAATTCCATGAAGGATCAGAAACAACAGGACAATCTGTTTTGGTTTCAGGGACAACTAGACTGCCTGTTGTAGGTTCAGGGACAACTGGGGCATCATCTGGAGTGACAGGCATAACTGGACCATCATCTGAAGTGAAAGGGACAATTGGACCATCAGCTGGAGAATTAGGAACAACTAGATCATCACCTGGTATATCTAGGACAACTGGACTATCATCTGGTGGGTTAGAGACAACTGGACTATCTGCTGTAGGATTAGGAACATCTCTCCCATCAAGATTGACAGGGACACCTGGACCATCAGCTGGTTTAGCAACAACTGGACCATCAGCTAAAGGATCAGGGACAACTGAATCATTTTCTGGAAGATCAGAAACAACTGAAATCTTTGTTGTAAGTTCAGCAACTATGAGTACATCCATAGGAGGAACACAGACAACTGGACAATCTGCTGAGGAAGCAGGGGCAACAGGTCTAGAATCTGGAGGGTCAGGGACTACAGGACTATTCCATGGAGGATCAGAAACTACAGGACAATCTATTTTAGGTTCAGGGACGACCTTACCATCTTCTGAAAAATTAAGGTCAACTAGACCTTTATTGGTAAAGTCGGGCTCTACTGGAGTATCTGCTACAGGATCAGTCACAAGTGGACTGTCATCCTGGGAATCTGGGTCCACTGGATCATCAACTGAAGTATTCAGAACAACTAGATCTTCTGTTGGAATATCAAGGACAAGTCAACCATCTACTGGAGGATCAGGGACAACTGCACCATCCGTTGTAGGATTAGGAATACGTTCATCAGCACCAGGATTGACAGAATCAACTGGACCACCAGTTTTAGGATCAGGGACAACTGAAACAGCAGCTAGAGGATCAGGGACCATAGGACTATCAGCTAGCAGATCAAGGACAACTGGATCATTAGCTGGAGTATCAGAAACAACCAAAACCTCTGTTGCAATGTTAGAGACTACTGCAACATCTATAGTAGGATCATGGACAACTGAACAATCAACTGAAGAATCAAAGACAACTGTACAATCAGCCCTAGGATCAGAGACCTCAAGACCATCTACTGGATTGTCAGGAATGACAGGATCATCAAGTTTTGGTTCAGGGACAACCCTGCCATCATCTGAAGAATCAAGGGTAACTAGACCATCCGTTATAGGTTCAGGCACAACTGAACCATCACATGGAGTGATTGGGACAAGTGGATCATCATCTGGAGATATATCCATCACTGGACCACCATCTGAACTATTAGGAACAACTATATCATCAGTAGGTATATCAAAGACAACTGGACAATCAATGGGTGGATTTGGGACAACTGGACCATCTGTTGTAGAATCAGGAACATCTTTGCCATCAGCAGGATTTACAGGGACATCTGGAACATTACATGAGTTAGGAACAAGTGGACCTTCAGCTGAAGGATCAAGGACAACTGGAATATTTTCTGGATTATCAGAAACAACTGAAACCTCTGTTGTAAGGTCCGAGACTACTGGACCATCCATAGGAGAATCACAGACAACTGGACAATTAATTGAAGAAGCAGGAACAACTGTACAAGGATTTGGGGCAGCAGAGACCACTCAGTCATCTGTTGGAGGATCAGGAACAACAGGACCATCTATTTTAGGTTCAGGGACAACTCCACAATCATCTGAAGGATTAGGGACAACTGTACCACCAGCTATAGAACCAGGAACAACTGGGCCATCGACCAAAGGATCAGCCAAAACTGGGTCATCAGGGTTACAGACCACTGAATCAATTGAAATATTAGGATCAGCTATATCATCAGTCAGTGATTCAAGGACAATTAGACCATCAACTAAAGGATCAGGGACAACTGTAAGATTACCTGAAAGAGCAGAGACATTTGGACCACCTGTTGTGAATTCAGGAATAACTGGACCATTTGTAGCATCACAGAGGACTGGACCATCAGCTGAAGTTTCAGTGACCACAGGATCATCATCTGGAGGATCAGGTACAACTGCCCCATCTGTTACAGGTTCAGAGACAACTGGACCATCAGCTGGAGCACCAGGGACAACTGGAATATCATCTAGAGGAGCAGGAGCAACTGGACTACTTGTTTTAGTTTCAGATACAGCTATCCCAGCATCTGAAAGATCCAGAACAACTGCATCACCAGCTGGAGGATCAGTGACAGCTGGACCATCAAATGGAGAATCAAGGACAACTAGATCAGCTATTTTAGGTTTAGGGACAACTCAACCATCATCAGGAGCATCAGGAACAACTGGACCATCACCAGAAGGATCAGGGACAAGTGGATCATCAACTGGGATAACCACTGGGATGTTAAGGAATGAGGTTACCACATCTGAAGGCAAGTCAAGTTCACTGAAAATAGACCATTTATTGTAAGCAATTTAAATTTTGTTCAGATTTCTACTTTTGAACTATATACATTTGTCAGAATTAGAATATTTAGAACTCGTTTACTAAAGATGGGAGCTTTGTAGAACATTATTGTTTTGAAGTGAGTCCACAGACTTCTTAAGAAGTTTATGTTTTTATCCCTCCTACTTTTATTTTTGACCATGTGCAACCAGAGTGTCAGTGGGAGCTACAACAGGTTCAGACAGGGGAAGCACAGCTGGAGCATCAGGCTCTATAACCACCACTGCTGGGAAACAAGCAGTCAAGCCTTACCCAGGTATCTGTTGGTATTCCAATGCAAGTGTAGCTTAGACTCATCATGATAATGAGTTTGTTATATTAATCAAGCACCAAATATTTGGAGAAAAGATTAAGAGATATTCTAGGTTTAGTATTAACATCTAAATTTTAAATATACTTAAATAGTGGTAGGTTTGTTTTTCCTAAAATGAAACACATAAAGATAATTTTCAATTATCTCATTAATCAGGTACAACTGAAGAACCATATGGAGAAACCGAATCAGGTGAAAGCATAACCAGTTTAACCACACCTGGAAAATCAGGCGAGTGGGAAGGGAAGGTGTTGGCCCAGGTTGTAACACAAAATAAGGTTTCCTGATAAATCTAATGATGAATATTAGTGTATTTTGAGTAGAAATCAGAAAATCAGATCCAAGTCATCTGGCATTTAGGACCTTATATTTTGTTAGGTGTGTTTACACCAGGTACTGGAACTGTAACACCTGAACTCAAAGTAGTTACATTGTTAAATGTCCAGGTAGTGTCCCCATAAAATAAGAACACTGCTCATGACTTTCTGGGTTTTTTTAATTTTTAAAACGTTTATTTATTTTTGAGAGAGAGAGAGGAAGAGAGAGAGCACAGGTGATCATGAGCAGGGGAGGGGCAGAGAGAGGGAGAGAAAGAATCCCAAGCAGACTCTGTACTGTCAGCTCAGAGCCAGACTAGGAGCTTGAACTCACCAATCGTGAGATCATGACCTGAGCCAAAATCAAGAGTCAGCTGCTTAACTGACTGGGTTACACAGGCGACCCATTACTTTTCATTTTAATTTCAGGTTTCACAGAAGCTGCCCCTGGCTCAACAATTGCACCAGAAAGTTCCACTACTGGTAAGTAAGCAGGGGATGTCAGATTTTTTTTTTTTACACTTTTCATGCTTATTGGCTAATTAGAAATGGCAAAATAGTTAGTAATAATTCCAGTTACATAATTATAGTGTCCTTAAATATATTCTCTCATTTAACTATTAGAATAAATTTTGTTATCTCGTTTTACTCATGGGGAACTTAGAAAAGATACTACCTAGGGGCGCCTGGGTGGCTCAGTCAGTTAAGCCTCGGACTTCGGCTCAGGTCACGATCTCGAGGTCCATGAGTTCAAGCCCCGCTTCGGGCTCTGTGCTGACTGCTCAAAGCCTGGAGCCTGTTTCAGATTCTGTGTCTCCCTCTCTCTCTGACCCTGCCCCGTTCATGCTCTGTCTCTCTCTGTCTCAAAAATAAATAAACGTTAAAAAAAAAAAGATATGACCTAAATTTGTTCATATTCTACAGCAAATCAAATATTGGAGCCAATATTTTAATCCATTCTATACTGACTCCAAAGACTGTGCTCCTACCCACAATGTCCATCCTCCTGTAAGGCAAATATAAAATGTTCTTTGATGATCCATCAATAAGACCTTGCTTTTAATATTTATAAAGCTCAAATTTTCTCCATTTCCAAGCTACAGCAGCAGGTACTAAAAAGGGGGTTAAAATTTTATATATAATGACAAACTGTGGCATTTGTCAATTCTAAAACATTGGCAAAAACTATAATACTATTGCTTTATAAATAAAAACTTTATCACTTCATTTCTTTTTACAATCATTCCAACGTATGGGGCAATTATTTTTCTTAACAGTAAATGAAAATGTATTAAAGACGATAGCACATTAGTATTTAAATTTTGGACTAGTAATATATTATAGTACTTGAGAAAGGCATTATTTCTGTTTGTAGGTTATCTCACCGAACCTAGCTATTCATGATGAAATTGTCCATTATTTAAGGAAAAGATTGTTTATGCTTTTTTTCTTGTAAAGTATTATGCTACACTTATTCTAACTACTTTTACAAAGATGACTTATATAAATTTATTTTACAAACTAGTCACTAGAAAATAGTTCAATAATTTGATTCAGATTAAATTTATAGTTATTCTTTATTCAATCTATGGCTATGTAAATGTAAATAAATTGAAATGTTTCAAATTATATATTGAACACCATAATTATATTATAAATTAATATCATGGCTACTAGGATGTGACTATTGGACATAGTATGTACTTTATTGTTATTGACAATAGTACTTTTGCATTTTCCAAATTCAACACCTTAATCTTTATTAAATGGCAGCAAACAAGAATTACATTTGTGTAAATATTTTACTTGGGAAAAAGGCAATGGTTTTGCTTTCAGTTTGATAATTTGTAATTCATAGGTGATTCCTTACAGAGCACTTCGCAGCTTCTCTCCCAAGTGATCTCACACTCTGACTTCAATTTCTAACATCAGCCTCTATGAAAATACCATACCTCTGTTTTTTAATAAAAAAATTATATATGATGGCAGGTGAAGCACCAAAGTGATTTTTAAAAATGGAATTCAAGGGGCGCCTGGGTGGCGCAGTCGGTTAAGTGTCCGACTTCAGCCAGGTCACGATCTCGCGGTCCGGGAGTTCGAGCCCCGCGTCGGGCTCTGGGCTGATGGCTCAGAGCCTGGAGCCTGTTTCCGATTCTGTGTCTCCCTCTCTCTCTGCCCCTCCCCCGTTCATGCTCTGTCTCTCTCTGTCCCAAAAATAAATAAATGTTGAAAAAAATATTTTTTTTAAAAAAAAATGGAATTCAAGTATATTCTTTAATGGAAACATGAATTTAATCTTTCCTTTTTTAGGCTCAGATAAGAGAATTCCACCAGTATTAATTGTAGGTAAGTCAACATTAAAATGACAAAAACATGCTCTGTAGGATGTGGCTTCAGCATTTTTATGTTTTCCATTTGGACACTGAAAAATATATAAGAGACTGTGATATTCTTCCCAAATTATAATCTAATATAAATTAATCTTTTCATGAAAAATTAAAAATGTGCATTTATAAATATAGTTTAAGTTTTAGTGACGTCAAAATAGCTTGCAGTAACAGGTGAGAAAATATGAAATTATAAATGTGCATTTGGAAAAAATTGGTATTGCAGTAACTAGACTAGAGAATATAATAGAAATCTCAATTTTATCAGATTAATAAAACATGAACTTCAAATTAGATTCTGGTAGCATAGGGCTTTTGATTTTTCTATTCTTATGCCTTCTTAAATCATAACAAAGTCATATTGATTCCCTTACATAATAGTTAAATTCTACACCAGTTGTGTACAAATGTGCAAAATCAATCAAATAAATGAAAATAACTCTGAAATATGCCCCTTATTAAAAAAAGGCAGCTTTTTTTCTCAGCTTATTAGTGTTATTTATCACCTATCCTTTCCATGAAAATTTTTAGCTTTTATTGCATCCTGGTATCTCTTTTTAGACTTAGCAGTTTTAAAAGAAGTTTAATCTTTAGAACATCTCACTTTTTCTCAATTGCTCTTATTTACATTCTTTCAGTACGTACGTTCAAATGTTAGCTCCTTGAAGACAGGCTTTTTTTGTCTTATTTCATTCACTGATATAAAATTCCTTTGGGGTCCTTATCTAATGAAGTGTTTGATTTCAATACTTATCCACTTGATCCATTAGATTCTCCCTTTGTTGATTAAGGACCATTCAACATGTATCACTCAGTGAGCCACTCAGTGCCTACTACCAGAGAAATCTGTTAAAACAGGCATTCCCAAGACAGGTTAAAGTTGAAATAACAAGAAAGCCATCTGTTTGGACACTCTGGACATGAAGCTTTTTGTAGGATTGTGGTGATTAAATAATACAAAATATCTCTTTCCAACCACCCAAACACCCAGAACTTACTGTTCCATTTCTTCCCTCAAGAGGTCACAACTTCCACAGAAAGTGTTGGCACCAGTGGAGGTGGATTCAGAACAGGTGAGAGGGACCAGTTCCTGTCTTCTTGTTACCACTAATTATGGCATTTGTAGGAGAGCCTAGAGAGAGAGAGGGTTTCTGGGGAGCAGTCCATATTTACCTTATTAATATTGCACATTTGGCCAACTAGTTCTTTTTCAGTTTTGAACTTTTTTTTCCTGAAAAGCTACTAATAACAGAGTCCACCATCTTAGCTGTAATCCCTGAAGATGGGATGATTGTACTAATTATTCTGAGAATTATTTCCTGTGGAATTATAAACCTTATAAGCATTTGAAGAGGGAAGGGTACGAAAACTTTCTATTGTGGAGAAATGGAGAAGAGCTACATGGACCCTGGAGACATGTCTGCCCTATATAGATAGATGTTTGCTTTTCACAAGAAAGCAATGAAGAGTGAGATATTTTCCCAATGTCTGGGGTTCTGAGCACACTCATACCTTCTGTTGCCACTCCACAGCAGGTACCACTGTAGCATCAGCAAATCGTCACTGAGAGTAAAACAGGTGAGCGTGACGAGACATAGAATTCTGGAAAAGTTATCTTAGGTTGACAACATTGTGACTCTGGCTTTGTAATAAAATGGTAAAAAGAAAATACATAGGGCTCATCATCAGAGAAGGGCCAGAGAGTGAGCCAGTTAGATATAAAGAAGATATACTTGGGTTACTTTTAGAGGCATGTTTTTAGGAAAGAAACATGAGCACTGCTGTTCCTTTGTTTCAGGCACCACTAGGGTAGCCCCTGGCATAACTGTTGTCCCTGGAAATTCTAACACAGGTGAGTCAACAAGATGGTAGGGAACTTTCCACATGTCCTCCCATAAGTTAGATGTTTCCTCTGGTATTAGTCTTTGCAGGAGTGCCATCTATCTTTTCCATGACCCTAAATATTCTCCAATTAACTCTTTCCTCCTCTCCATCAGAGGCCACAACTTTCCTAGGAGAAAATGAAACAACCAGAGTTGGAATAGCCACAGGTGAGTGCTGCTAATCTAATACCTGCACTTCATAATAACTTCTTAAAACAGTCTTCTGAGCACCAACTGATGAATGAATAAAGAAATTGTGGTTTATATACACAATGGAATATTACTTGGCAATGAGAAAGAATGAAATATGACCACTTGTAGCAATGTGGATGGAACTGGAGAGTGTTATGCTAAGTGAAATAAGTCATACAGAGAAAGACAGATACCATAAGTTTTCACTCTTATGCGGATCCTGAGAAACTTAACAGAAGACCATGGGGTAGGGAAAGGAAAAGAAAAGTTAAAGAGGGAGAGAGCCAAACCATAAAAGACTCTTAAAAACTGAGAATAATCTGAGGGTTGATGGGGGGTGGGAGGGAGGACAGGGTGGGTGATGAGTATTGAGGAGGGCACCTGTTGGGATGAGCACCGGGTGTTGTATGGAAACCAATTTGACAATCAATTTCATATTAAAAAAAAATAAAATGCTAAGAATTGATATAAAAAACAGTTTTCTGAAAAAAATCTACACTATTTATATATGTTATATAAAGCAAATTCAGAAAAAAGGACAGGACAGTCATTACATTGCCTCCTTATCTCCTGAGCTTACAAGAACCTTCAGTAGACCATCATGAAGTCAAACTAATGACAGATGGACAGGTAATGTGGAGGGAAACTTCCTATCTCTCCTCCCAAAGAAAGGGACATGATAGTCGAGAACTTTCTCAGTAAAATTATTGTAGAAAGAAATATTACACGGGGTATATATGAATTAGTTCTTGGAATTCAAAGTCTCGGGGTTATAGTTTACTGCTATATGTAAACTTTAGATTCCTATTTAAATCCCATAGTGGACAAGCAATTGAACTGAGTGACTGCTGCCCCTTTTTTGTTTTAGGTACTACTGGTATAGTCCCTGAGAAAACTGTGGAACCTGGAAATTACAGCACAGGTAAGTCTGAAAATACATGCAAAATTGGGCCATTGGATGATAGATTCTGACAACAGCACAGTGTGTACTTTCCCACACCCTAGTCTTTACTCCTTCCTTCCTTCCTTTTCCCTATCAGAGGCCACGAATTCCACAGGAGGAAGTGGGACCACCCAAACAGAACTTCTAGGAAGTGAGCTGTTTTAGTGTGAGGCTTTGGGGGTTTTATCAAATCTGTTTGTGTGGCTACCGTGAACACCTGACCTGGGAAAGAGCCTTGCATTTCATCTGGGAAACATAACATGCCAAGAGTCACACACCTGGGCCTGCCTAGAAATTCCATAGCCTCAAGATATCTCCATATGGATTTCCAGATGCCCAGTGTTGCAGAGCTAGTCTTTGGATAGCAAAGATGAAGGCAACATGCTGGTCAGCCCCTGCCTTCCAAAGCCCCAGAGCTTTTACATAGTTTGCTGTTTTCCCATACCACTTCCTAATATCTGTCACACTGTGTTATTTGTCCTGTTGATTGTTCACTGATGGTTTCCAGTTGCTAGAATATAAGCTGCATCAAGGGAGGGATCTTTGAATATCCTGCTCACTGATACATTCAAGGGCCAAAAACAATATTGCACATAAGAGATGTCTATAGGGGCGCCTGGGTGGCGCAGTCGGTTAAGGGTCCAACTTCAGCCAGGTCACGATCTCGCGGTCTGGGAGTTCGAGCCCCGCGTCAGGCTCTGGGCTGATGGCTCAGAGCCTGGAGCCTGTTTCCGATTCTGTGTCTCCCTCTCTCTCTGCCCCTCCCCCGTTCATGCTCTGTCTCTCTCTGTCCCAAAAATAAATAAACGTTGAAAAAAAAATTTAAAAAAAGAGATGTCTATAAATACTAATGATAAAATGTATACTTACTTTAAAGCTTCACTCTATTTGCTTTAATAGGTACCACCATGATTTCACCTGGAGCTGGTAGAAGTTCACAGAGTTCCAAGCCAGGTATAATGGACTAAATAAACTCATCATATGAGAGTGTTAGAGTTAAGGAGTGCTATTTTAAACATCTGACTACCCAAACACCTCAAATAATTGATCATCTGCCTTTTTATTCTTTTAGTCACCTCTCACTCCTGGGAGTCCAGGGGCTGGAAGAGAAACTGGGAGGGTGACATAAGGTCTCCTTCTGCTTTCAGTGGGATGTATGGAAAGGCAACTCCAGTAGAACAAGGATTAGTAGGTGGGTCAGGAAAAGAAATTGTGGGAAGTAATTGATGGTTCATTTCCTTCAGAAACAAAGATCCTCAGGAAAGGTCTTCCAGTGGTTCAACGCCATATTGATCAGGGGGATAATGCTGTGTTGATCCCTTTATTTTTCTTCTTTTAGGTCTTACAGAGGAAATCTCTGGGATAACTATTATATCTGGAAGTTCCCACACAGGTAGGTTAATAAGAAATAAATCTCCATATTTAACCTCATAATATAGTTAGTAGACCTGCTCTGAAAAATATCAACATAATTCTTTCCCTAATATCCCAAATCCTCAGACCTCATCGTTCATCATTTTCTTCCCTCAGAGGCCACAACTTTAACAGAAGGCAGTGGTACTTCTGGAACTGGATCCAGATGCAGTGAGAATAATTAGCTTACAGTTTGGGGTTTAGTGTGAATTATGGCTCTCCCTGAAGTCACCTGTTGGGAGGTGTGCTCTCCTACAGAGTAGTTTGTATTTATTTTCAGCATTTTCTTAGATTTCACATATTTAATATATGGAAGAGCTCTTAACACTAGCATCTAGCCTCACAGTGGCTATTTTTTAGAGATATGCTGGTGATGTAAACCGTATGATAGGTTTCTCCTGTGATGGCTTATATATCACTAAGATGTCAGGGGGAGCTGAGGAGTATTATACACCTGGGAAGAAGTGAAAATGATGTGAATTCCTAAATAGGCCTGTCCTATATAAAGATTTTCTTATTCAAAGAAACAGTATTGATGCTCAGTATTTTCCTTGGGAAATTCTTTTTTTTTTTTTTTTTTTTTTTTTTGTTTCGTCTTACGGTAGGCACCACTGCAGTACCGGGAGGCCAAGCAACTGGGAGTGTGACAGGTGAACACTTGGAAGAAAGCCACCTTATTCTCTGTTTTGAAATCATGGGATGTTTGAGGAGGTTGCCTCAACTTGGAAAAATTATTATTTTGATTGCTTTTTTAATGATATAGGTCACAGGAAAGGTATATGATTCTCACTTTCATCAGGAAGCAGTGAAAGGGCCCCTTGATATGAGATACATCCAGATTTCCTTCTAGAGACAGGTATTCAGGAGATAAACATGAATCACTGTGATGACTTCAGACCTTTGTGTTTCAGGCACCACTGGGGTAGCCCCTGGTACAACTGTTGCCCCTGGCAGTTCTATTACAGGTGAGGCAACAAGACAACAGGGAATCTTCCACATGTCCTCCCACAAATTAGATGTCTCCTCTACACGCTCCTTTCTGTGGTCCTTAAATAGTTTCCAATCAACTCCTGTTTTCTTCTCTCAGAAGCCACAACTTCTGTGGGAGAAAGTGGAACACGAATGAGGATCATCACAGGTGAGCGCTGTTAAGGCACTAATGGTACTTTCTAATAACTTCAGTAAAAGGTCCTAACTGAAATATATCAAAGCTCTTGGGGTGCCTGGGTAGCTCAGTCGGTTAAGCATCTAACTTCGGCTTAGGTCACGATCTCATGGTTTGTGAGTTTGAGCCTTGCACCAGACTCTGTGCTGACAGCTCAGAGCCTGGAGCTGGCTTCAGATTCTGTGTCTCCTTCTCTCTGCCACCACCCCCCCCCAACTTATGCTCTGTCTCTCTCTAAAAAATGAATAAACATTAAAAAAAATTAAAGAGTAAGAAAATATATATCAAAACTCTTTGGATGTTCCATATTTAGCAGACTGGTGAAAAATTTAGCAGTTGTTCAATATTTGACATCAATAAATTCTGTTCAGACACTTTAATTTTTCCTCTTTGTGCTCTAAGGAGCCTTCATCAGGGCATTATGGGGTCCATTACCTGACAGTTATACACAGGATATATACCTAGGACGTATTATACCTGAATGTCCTGTGCACACTCCAAGTCTTTACTTTTTTTAATGTTTATTTATTTATTTGTGTGTGTGTGTGTGTGTGTGTGTGTGTGTGTGTGAGACAGAGAGAGAGAGAGAGAGAGAGAGAGAGAGAGAAGGAGGTCATGTGTGGGAGGAGCAGAGAGAGGGAGACACAGAATCCAAAGCAGGCTCCAGGCTCTGAGCTGTCTGCACAGAGCCTGAGGTGGGACTTGAACTCCCAACCATATCATGACCGGAGCCAAATCTGATGCTTAACCGACTGAGCCACCCATGTGTCCCTAGCCTTTACATTTTCTTTTTCCTTTTTCTTCTGTTAGAAGCCACAACTTTCACAGGAAGGAGCGAGATCACCCAAGGAGTACTGCCAGGCAGTGAGCTTTTCAGTGGAGGCCTAAGTCTCTCATTATTTCTCTGTTTGGGTTAAGCATGAAAATGGGAGGGAGTGTGAGAAAGGGTCCTACATTTTCCCTGTGGCCCTATTTGTTGGTTTGCAAAACCAGGGAGCTTCCCAGGTAAAGTCTGAGCCTGGCCCTGTACACAAACAGCGAAGAGAACGGAAGAAAGAAGCAGGCCAGTCTGGATTGGTAGATGGCAGGTGTAATAAGGGAACTTACCGAGCCTTGTCCTGGGTGGCCGCAAGATGAGTAGATCTCTGCACCCACCACCAGAATCTTAAAAGCTGATGTGGAAATCTTAAGTGGGTTCAGTCACTCTATACCATCCAGATGGTCTCAATGACACATTTCTCTCTCAAGGCTGCTTCCTTGAAAATGGCTCCAGCTGTGGAAATGTAGGCAGAACATACATCCCATACTCCCATTTCCAGAGTCCAGCTCATAGGTCAATTGACATTCATGTCCTTTCAATGACCTCCTCTAACAATATTGTAGTATACCAATGAGAGTATATTCAAGTTATTCAGCTTGGAATTATAAGCCTAGGCTGTCCTCTATGTTCTGACTCACAGAGGTGTTTTTTGTTGTTGTTGTTGTTTATTTGTTTTGTTTTTCTGAAGAAAGGTATGAGTGCATATTGAATATATCCTAACCCCCAATCCTCCTAATCCTCCTTACCTAGTTTACCTTCTCCCCAGGGCTTGCCACTTCCTATCATCTCTCTCGTATACATGATGCTTATTATTTATTTTCTATCCTTTTTCACTAGAAAGCTTCATAAAGACAACTGATTATCAAAATGCTCCAAGTTACAATCAAAGGTTACTACTTATAAAAATTAAAACCATGCTTAATCCCATCCTTAGGCACCTCTGGCACAACAGGTGGATATGTTCCTGGAAGTGAGGCAGGTAAGGGTGATTTAAAGACCTGCTTCTTTTTACCACATAGTGAAAGGGAAATCCATAGCAACACATCCATCCCAGTTTGACCTGAGAAATAACAGTGCTGTGAAGTTGTTCATTTTCAATTTTATTCATAGTCTTCAGGAAGGAGCTTCAGTGCTTTAGGGCCACATTAATGATTCTAAGATGAACTAGGAGTGTGAAATGCTCTACTACTCTGTTTACCTTTTTGCAATTTAGGTACCACTGGAGAATTGTCTGGAACAACCATTACATCTGGAAGTTCTAACACAGGTAGGTTAACAAGGAAGAAATTTTGCTTATTTAATCTCAGATGTCATGATCTCGCTTTCAGGGCTGTTATAATAAAGAAATAGCACAATATATTTTCCCAATATTTCAAATTCCCAGATTTCATCATTCTCCTATTTCTTTCTTCAGAGGCCACAACTTCCACAGAAATGACTGGAACTGGAGCCCAAACAGGTGAGCATGAAGAGCCCATGATTTGGGGGTCAACAGATTTAGGACTGTCTCGGCTTTCCTTTGGAGAGTTTGCATTTAATTTAGGGGCATTGCAAGTGAGTCAAAATAGGTTTAATAGTAGGGATAAAAATCTTTTTGAAAATCTATAAATTCCAGCACTGAGTTTCATTGCTCTAAGTCTGAAGATATGATGGGATTTCTCCATTGGTATTGCAAATAGCACCAGAAAGTTCTCCCTTTTTTTGTGAATTCCTTCTAGTAATTTAAATTGGCTGAAATAAACACAGAATGATTTCTGACCTATGGAAGTCTTTATCTAAACCTCCAAATTCCAGTGTGTTAACGGTTTACCCTAATCATCCCTAAGTTTATATAAGGCAGAATATCTCTCCCCACCCCCATCTCTTTTCTCCTCCTCAGGAGTCCAGACTACCATACCAGGTAGCCAGATCTCTGACATTCAAACATGTAAGCATGAGAAAATGTGAATATCTCCCTGATATTTACCAATATTCAGAATGAGAATTATAATGTGAAACAGCTTTTTTTTTTTCTTTTGGAAAGAAATGTTCTTGTGAAAAGATATATGAGGAACCCTAGAATAAGCCTTCTATGAATTAAAAGAAGCTTGTAACATTTTTCTTCTTAGCTTTTCTTTTAATGTAAAGGAAATAACATATCAATCCCTTCCCTTTTGCGATTCTAGGTACCAGTGGAGTAGTCTCTGGCACAACTATTAAATCTGGAAGATCCAGTGTTGGTAAGTGAATGTATTCAGAGGCAATCATTCCTTGTCTAACATCAAGCAGAAATATGTCACCCCAAACATACTTTCTACTTTCCTAATTTTTTGTTTCCAGAGGCCAAAGCTTCCTTAGAAAGCATCAGAGACCCTGTGATGAAATCATTGAGAATTAGGAGTGCCAGATGTTAGCATTGCCATTGATTACGATCATGAGTTTGCCTCTGGATCAGAAAGATTGTTATACAGGAAGGGCAGGTCCTCCATCGCACACCCAGGCCAATGGTGCTATTGATTCAGACTCCTCTGCTGGTTTCTGGACAACCCTTTTCCAGTGCCTGGCCATGTGGTGTGGATTTCTGAATAGGGTGGTGGTAGTAGTAATTTCCTGGAAGATTAACCCACTGGACATGATTGATGTTATTGCAGAATCGGCAGGAGTCAACACTGTCCCAAAAGCTTCTATCTCAGGCAAGTAGATGACTAAAATGAAAGTAGAAATTTTTTGCCTCCCATTTGACTTTTTATCTTGAACTTTAAACTCTAAGTTGCTTAATGACTGGTTGCCTCGAGGTTGATTAAAGTGATAACATACTCAAAATATTTTTCCTACTTTCAACCATTAAGAACTACCTCTGGAGTATCAATCAAGTCGCTAAAAGTAAAACAGGTAAACATGGTGAAAAACTCTTCTGTTCCCAGTTGAAAATAGTGTAATATTTGCTAAGTAAGCCTACTAGAAGATAGACTTCTTAAGGGAAAAAAAGTCTTCATTTATTTTATTTATTGGTGAATTTCTAGTATTAAACAGGCTCAATAAATATTTTTGAATGAATGAAATAATTGATACATGGGAAAAATTACACGATTCAATCCAGGAGCAGAAAGGCATGCTCATAGAGCTTCCATATGGACAAAATAGTCTCTATGAATGGTCCTTCCTGGAGTTGTCCATGTGTAATATAACTGAAGATATGGCCCTGGAAATATACACTTACTTTATACTCAGATTGCCTCAATGCAGAACATTCTCTGTGATGATCCCATGACATTCTTATTTCAGGTACCATTGGTGTGGCCTCGAGTACAACTGTTGCACCTGGAAGTTCCCATACTGGTAGGTTAACAAGCTGGGAAGAAAGCATCTTTCCTAAAAATAAGGTGAAAAAATGTCTTTCACATGGATCTTCTCATGTAAGAGCACCGCACCATATTTTCTTTACTTCCTAAATACCCAACCTTTATCTGTTTCTTCTTTTCTTCTTCTAGAAGCCATACTACTACTAGAGTCCGTTAGGAAACAGATGGAAATTAGTGTGTGTGGGTGCAGGTGTGTTTGTGTGGCAGGGGGGACTTTGGTTGATTATAAATTACTTTTTTGTTTCTTAGTAGGATAATTTCTTGAGGAGGGGCTTTTAAGGAACTTACATCTAAGATCAACAGTGTTTTCGTTTTTTACTTGATTTTGAATCAGTTGGGACAGATTTTTGAAATATCTTCATTTTCATGGTCCAGCCTCCATATATACCTCCCTGAATATGAGAGTGAAAGTGATAATTGTCTAGGGAGTTTTCTTTTTCTATTTGTCATCTTAAGTATCACCATGATATTAGCTGATGGAAAGATGGTGGCAGAGTGTTTTATTTCAGGTAAACAGAAGGCCACAACGAACACAGAAAATTTATCTCTATTCATTATGTTCTTCTTTGAGCATAGAAGTAACTGAAATGTGCAGTGGTTATCCCAGTAACTATCTACCTTCATGATTAAGTTTTAAAAATTTTCATTCTCATAAGAGCTACTACGGAAGTATCCATAAATAAAGGAACTGGAAGCACATTAGGTGGCTCTGGTGGGAAGCGGATCAGAAGAACAAGAGGCAGAATATGAATACCCTTGTTTTTCTGCCATTAAATCTCAGAAAAGGGGACTTCTCTGTTGAGGAATTTCTATCTTTATTTGATTTGGGAATAAAACTATGCATAAGAGAACAGAAATAATTTATCACCGGTTGAAAAGGCCCACAAGATAAACAGAATTCCCACCCCCAACTCCATGAGGGGAAAAGCCACCCTTCTTGTTGTAGGTACCCCTAAGGTATCTTCTGGCACTACACTTGCACCAGGGAGTTCAAATACAGGTGAGCCAGCCAGCTGAAGAGAGTCTTCCACAGGAAAACTTCTAGTAGTAAAGTATCTTTCATGGTACAGTGGCCCAGAAAAGTACATAATTAACTTGCCTCAGAACACTAAATCCTCAAAATAAGTCAGTCAGAGAAAGACAGATAACATATGTTTTCACTCATATGTGGATCTTGAGAAACTTAACAGAAGACCATGGGGGAAGGGAAGGGGAAAAAAACAGTTACAAATAGAGAGGGAGGGAGGCAAACCATAAGAGACTCTTAAATACAGAGAACTGAGGGATGATGGAGGGTTGGGGAGAGGGGAAAGTGGGTGATGGGCATTGAGAAGGGCACTTGTTGGGATGAGCACTGGGTGTTTTATGTAAGCTAATTTGACAATAAATCATATTTTAAAAAAACATTAAATCCTCTTCACCTCACATTTTTTCTACCTTTCCTCTGTCTTAGAAGCTACAACACCCCCTGGAGGCAGTGGAAGCACAGGAATTGAAATTAACACAGGTGAGTTCATAAGCTTCCTAACCTTGCCACTTTTCACATACAAGCGCAGCAATAACAATTAACAGTTTCAAGCTCTAAGTATGTGCCAGGCATTATCCTACACCCTTCTTGCTATTATTTTAAACCTTACCCCAAACTGAGGTACTATCATTTTCACAGATGAGAAAACATGGCTTAGAGATATTAATCAACTTGCCCAACGTCATACAGCAAGCAAACAGGATTCAACTCAGGCAGTCTGGTTCAGAAGTCTAACCTCTTAATCATGATACTTTATTACTACTACATTATATCACTAGATTTTTTTGTCACATGTCTAAACATTTCTAGAACATTAAAATTTCTATAACATCAGTACTTCACCCAAAAGTAAATTTAATTGGTGATCAATCCTGTTGTTTCTTCTTCTAGGGGGATCCAGTAGCCAAGTCCCTGGCATTCAAACAGGTAAATAAAGGAAAAATACCTTTGTCTTGAGACTCTCCACCACTATCCCACATTGTGCTCTCCCACCACTATTTTGGGAATGAAACATTAGAAAGTGCACAAACAACTCTGAAACAAGCTATTGCCAAAAATAATCTTTTTTTTGCATAATAAAGAAGTTGTGTAGCTTCCCCACCCTTTTCTATAATATGCTTTTCTTATAGGAGTAAAGTTCACATGATCATATCATTCCATTTTGCTTTCAGGTACTATTGGAGTGACCCCAGAAAGTACCATCTCACCCAGAATTTCCAACACAGGTAAGCCAACGAGGAAGGATGTGCTATAATTTCTTTCTTGGGACTAGCTCTGGAGGAATAGCATGTGATTCTTGTTTATGACTTTCCATTAGCCATCACTACTTTCTTTTCACTGTCAGAAGCTACAACTTCCATTACAAGGAAGTATAACCAGTGAAAGTGGAATTGGTAACTCCTTTTTAAAAATATATTTATTTATTTTGAGACAGAGAGAGAGTGTGAGCGAGAAAGCATGGGCATGAGTGGGGGAGGGTCAGAGAGAGAGAGAGAAGGGAGGGAGGAGAGAATCCCAGGCAAGCTCCATGCTCCATGCTGAGCCTGACACAGGGCTCAATCTCACTACCTTGAGATCAGAACCTGAGCCAAAATCAAGAGCCAGACGCTTAACCCACTGAACCACCCGGGTGCCGCAGGATTCGGCAATTCTTGAGTTCCTGATGATTTATTCTGTCTTTGCCTTTTCTTGGGGACATTTGTTAGAGGAAGTTTATATTTATGAAAATGATTTCATTTCTTCTGGGGGCAAACCTTATATGGTAATTCTTATTACCATAAGGGGAGTTCAGAAAGGTCCCTTTTTGATATTGAAGATATTACCCCAGTATCAGTTGGAGGCAGTATGTCCATGTAGTTCTATTTAGGGAAGCAAAGATGACAGAAATAACTGGAAGTTTAGGTCTAGCAAATTTTGGATTTCAGATGTTATTTCATTGAATACAAATAAATACATTTACACAAATATTGTTTCTATTCTTGTCATCAGGAGCTACCACTGGTACATCTGAGACACCAAGCCCTGGAAGTAAAACAGGTAAGCTTTGGAAAGGCCTGGAGACTCCTGATATTTAATCCTAGGGAAGCTAGTCATCAAAGCTGGACCGTAAGCCAACATGTTTATTGTGGCCCTGAATTTAAAAATAGAGAATGAACTTCATCTTGACAGGATAGCTCAAAAAAGATCTGCTACTTTCCAGTCACAGACAGTCTGGTTGGCCATGCTCTTCTCAGAAAGGTAAATGCATCACCATTTGGATTCTGTCTTTCTCTTTTCTACTGCAGGCACTACAGGTGTAATCACTGGCACAACAGCATCTGGAAGTTCCAACACAGGTAAATCAATAACCTAACAGGGAATGTGACAAGCTTCAGTAATGGAAAACTCACTCCCCTGCCTCCTGCTTCAACATCTCCTCCCAATCACACACTTTCCCTACCATTCCCTGGGAAACCACCATTTCTCATTTATATGATCCTTCTGAATTCACTTACCTTCTCCTTTCTTCCTTTCACTTAGGGACCACAACTTCTTTTGGAGGTGGTGGAAACACCAAGGGTGGAATTAAAATAAATGAGTATGAGCAGTCAAATAATATTTTTCTCTACGTCTTAAAGTCAGTCACAGTGACTGTAATGAACTTAGAGGGAATTCTATTCTACCTTACCTTAATCTCTCTTTGAGTACAAATTGTCATGATGTTAACTCTTTATCCCATGTGAATTGTCTTATATTTTGTAGACTTGTAATAAAATGGTATAATAGAAACCAGTATTGATATATCACCTAAGACAAGGAAGTTCCTGATCTAAACCTTTTAGTTGATTAGAGGAACCCATCAATGTCTTCTAAACTAAATCCTAATTTTAAGTAAAAAGGAATTAATACATCGATTATCTCCTTTTGTGCTTTCAGTTACCACTGGGATAACCACAGGTACAACCATCGCACTTGGGAGTTCCAACACAAGTAAGTTGTGAAAAAGTTGAGGAAACCTGCTTCTATGAACTTTAGCCAAATTTCTGCATTTCATATTGCTTTCTCCTATTTCCTCTCAGAGGCTATAACTTCTACAGAATTTGAAGCTACCACTGTATTTGGAATGGCCACTAGTGAGTGGTTTGCTTTCAACCTTTTGTGTTCTCAACAGTTTTATGTTTAAGTTTGTGTTAGATGATGAATGAGTGAGCAGACCAGCGAAGATAGGGTTTTGTATTCCATTTGAAGAGACCATATGTTAGGTCAATCAGACGTGGACTTTGTTCTTCAGATTGATTTTCTCTATACACCAGCCTTTTATATTTTATGAAGCTAAGAATGATATATTACTCTCAATTCTTTATCCATCTTGCCTTAGCAGATACTACTTCAGAGTCAGCTGAAGTTTCCAGGGGTCCAGAAAATTCTAGTCCTGGTTAGTAGGATTTAATTCATCAGTCTTAGACTTATCTTGCACATAAAACCCTTTCTTCTCAGGTTTTCCTCATAACTAAGGTCTCAACAAATTAAAAAAAATTTACATGCTCCTTCACACACCTGAATCCCCACTGAAAGCATCAGGAGGCCAAGTCACAGGAGGGAAAACAAATGAGCAGAGGAAAAACGCTATTACAAAAAGCATTAAACCACAGAGAACAAAGGGCTCCAGAATGAAACTTTACCATATATTGGTTTGGAGAAATGAAAGAGTCTGTGGGAGAGCATGGTGTTTGCTTGTCTGTGCATAACGAAACCCCTTTATTGCTTATTAGAAACATGTGAATTTATCTTGTCCATGATATTTTAAGGGCATAAAAAGTATTACTATGGTCTCCCTCTCTCTCTCTCTCTCTCTGTCTCTCTCTTTCTCTCTCAATTTCACAGTATCTTTCTCATTCTTTTAAATCTCATTTTCATGTCCATTTCAAATTCCGCCAGGGTTGTCTTTCACCACACTTATTTCTGGAAATGCCAACATGAGTTAGTCAAAGTTACAAAGAGACTAATACTCTTTATTAGTATCTCACTCAAAAGCCATCTTCTTTGAGAGTATGTCTTCTACTTTCATAACATACAACTTTTTTCCAGATTTCAAAATTGTTTAAAATCACCTTAAATTTTTATTTATTCACAGGGGCTACAACTCTGGGACTAAGCCGTGGCACCACTGTGCATGTAATTCAAACAGGTCAGTCATGGCATTGCAGAATTGTTGAGATTTCACTGATTACTCATAGGATATTGGTAGTGACAGGAGATGATAAAACTTTTAATTTGAAGACTTGTGAGATAATTGGGGTTGTGATCTTAATGTACTAGAATCTCCTGGACTACAGACTTCATCATATGCACATTTATTAGGATGTAGTTTCTTAGTGGTACATTTCTTAATGAAAACAGGAGTCTTTTTGGTAAAATATTTTCCTACTTGTCTTTATAGGTACTATGGTCATAGGTGAAATCACAGGTTACTCAAAAGTTTCCAACCCAAGTAAATTAAGATGACTAAAATAAATTTAGGGCATTTTTTAAAATCTCACATTAATATTTTTTGTCTACTCAATGAAAATGATCAAGGAAAGAAACATTTATTAAAAAGCATGGGAGTATAAAATAGGAAATTATAATAATCTAAACTTGTGGAATACAACTCAGATATTGGGAAACCATCGCAAGAGCAGATGTTGGGAGGTTTGTCAAAATTTCTGGTTGTCAAAGTTGTGACAGAAATGTCCTGAAAAGGGGGAAAAAAAGGAGATCACCCATCAGTTTTGTATTCCATAATATTATAGGATTCAGTTATGAAAAAAATTAAATTGTGATTCCATTGACAATAAGGAGAAATTGAAAGGTTTTTGGATAGATTGACTATCATGCATAGATTTACTTTTTTGGAAGATTAACTAGGCATAAGTTAGGCATGATTTAAAGGGGAGTAAGAAAGCAAGTGTTGGAGGTATGTCATCCAGTTTGAGACTGTTGGAGGTAAGACATGATTACAGACAGATTACAGAGGCAATCATGTCGGAAAATGGAGGTCACAAAGAATGTGCAATATGTTGGCAAGTTGGCATTTATTATGATGCGATGGAGAGGTGAAGGAGAGAAGGATGTTTTGGGTGAATCTAGCTCATAGTTTGGATGCTTAGGTAGACGGATGGAAGTGCCATCCCCAAATTTGGGAATATACTGGAGGAGGAAAAAAAAATTGATAACTGATAGAAGATATAGTGAGGACAAATTTGGGCAGTTTGAATTTAAAATGCTCTGAGGTGTTCGCTTCAGCAGCACATATACTAAAATTGGAACGATACAGAGAAGATTAGCATGGCCCTTGTGCAAGAATGACATGCAAATTCAAGAAGCATTCCATATTTAAAGAAACAAACAAGTAAATAAAATTTAAAAAAATAAAATAAAGTGCCCTGAGGTATTCAGTAGTATGCTCAGGAGAAGTGTTAAGTGCAACTAGAGTACAGAAGAGAGGCCTACATTGAAGATATACATTTGTCAGCCGATTGCTTACAAATGATATTTAAGTGGTGGATGCTGGTGAGTTTATTTAGGGTAAACACACATAGTCAGAAGACCAAGAAGTTAAAACATGATACCCTGGCTTCAAAGGGTGGGCAAAGATGCGGAAAGGCGAGTGAGAGATAACAAGCTTCCAGCTATGGAGTGAATATGTCATGAGGATAAAAGGGACGGCATATGGAATATAGTTAATTGTATTGTGACAGTGTTGTATGGTGATGGATTGTAGCAACACTGGTGGTGAGCACAGCATGATGGATAGACTTGTTGTTGAATCACTGTTGTACACGTGAGACTAATGAAACTGTGTCAACTATACTGAAATTTAAACAGTTAAAACAAAAACACATATTCAAAGTAAATTTAAAAGGTGTTACAAAAAAAGGACTTTGTAAAGGAGAGGAGCCTGGAAAAGGGGACAGTTTGGGCTCAGCCAGTATGGATTAAGTCAAGTCTATAAGACAGAGTGCTGGAGTCCTGGGATGTGACTCAGGAGACTGTTCTGCTTCTAATCTGGGGATTCAGAATCCCAGATCAAACAGGAGCAAACAGAATTTTCAGACAACATATGTAAGTTTTAGTAAGATTCATTTTTCAGAGGGCCTGACCTAATAGATATAAAACTTTGAAATAGGAAGGGAGAACTGGTTTGAAATAATTAAAATGTCAAGATTCTTAATTCTTTTCATTTGTTAAGCTTCAGGAGTCACCAACCTAATTCCAAGGAACCAGTCTACTGCAAGAAAAATAGGTAAGCATGGGGAAGTGAAAAAGGTGAAACGGGGAAGGCACCTATCTCCATGATACTAATTCCAGAAAACAGGGATCGTAGAAGAATGGAGTTTACCATAGGGGATAAAACAGAGCAAGAAAAAATGTTTATTTTACTTTTGGGGGCAAGGAGTCCTGGAGAAGGAATATGTTGTTTCACAGAAACACATGAATTTTTCCTAAATGATCATCCCCATCCAATAAGAAAGACACTGCTCACATTACTGTCTCTTTCTTCTCTCTCACATCCCAGCTACCACTGGGACAGGCTCTGTAAATATATCATCACCTGCAAGTTTCCAAGCAGGTAAATCAGGAAATAAAAGGAATTCCCCTTTAAGGGCCTATGGACAAAATTGCACACTGCCGTATATTCTCCTATTTTCAAATTCTTAATCTTCTCAATTTTTTTCTTCTTTGCTCTTACAGAAACCACAACTTTTAAAGAAGGTGTTGGAACTATGGAAGCAAGAATTTCATCAGGTGAATTTTACTGGATTTTGGATTCTCCATGGTTTTTTTCATTTGAGCTCACTATACACAGATTGTGAATGAAAATGAACATCACTGGAAGTGGTTCCTTTTCCTTTAATAATAGCTCATAGGGTCAAATTAGGTTAGTTCCCTGAGTTTTCCTAGGAAACATAACCATAGATGTAATTCTCTAGACACACCTTTTTTTAAAGAAACTTTACCCCCTTTGTTTTGCCAGGCAATACTCCAGAATTAGTGAAAGTCACCACCAGCCAAGATATGTATAGATGCAGTTGTTTTTCTCTGGTTTTCTTCCACTGGAGAGTCAAAGAGTTAAGTCACTGGAAGTAAACCATGTGAATATAAGACAGACATTCTCTCCTTTACTAATAAGATTCTAGATGATTCTGGATCTAGAGAAATAAGATTTTTGACACAATTGTAGCTTTTCCTCTTATATTTTCTTTGAACATTTCAATCATGAGAAATTGCATTAGAAAACATGTCAGGTTTAACACATTATACAAGAAAAATTGTTTTAAATTGTTTTCTGTTGCTTCAGAGAAATAGGAGCACTTGCCAATTTTACACTTTTCTTAGGGTGAGAAAGGGTTTGTGAGGCTCATCCTTCCTTCTTATTGCAGGTACCACTGGGGTAGCCTCTGGCACAACAGTTATTCCTGGAAGCTCCAATACAGGTTAGTAAATATTTAGTAAGTGGCAGAGTATCTAAGTTAAAAAAAATAATATCCTTTCTCTAGAATTAACTGTTGCAACATCAACAGAGCAGTCCTGACCTCATTCTTGTTTGCCTCTCTTAGGGGCGACCACTGGAGTTGGAATGTAAATAAGTAAGAGTCAGTGATTCAAATCTATTGAATTCTCATTAAAGACTCCTACAGCTTCGCTTCGGTGTAGGGGAATGTTGAGAGTAAAAATAAAGGGCCAGGAAATGGGGCAGAATCTCATTAGGAATGTACTTTTTTCAGCCATTGTTATCTTCTTGCTCTGAGTTTCTGGACTCAGACCAGAGCACCCAGGTAAGTTTGTATAGGTAGGTACACAGGACACAATGCTAAAAGGAGGAATAGATGCTGAAATCCAGCCAACATTCCTCTAAAAAAGACATAAATCTATGAGGCCACATCTGCCCAAAAAGGGTGTGTTTTGTAATTCACAAGGGGAATCTATGGGCTGGATGCAGTATTGACCCAGACTTTCACCCGGCTTACTTTCTCTTCTCACTGTTAATTTTTGGGGATGGCCATAGGAGGTGTGTCTGATATGAAATGTTTTTCATTTGCCTTCGTAGGTACTAGTGTGGCATCAAGTAGAATTACTGGTGTCCCAGAAAGTCCCACCCAAGGTAATGGAAATGACTTCAAATGAAGTTTATATCCTTGACATTCTTCTCTTTCACACCTAAGTGTTTCAGATAACCAATATTTATCTCTATGAATGAATGCCAGACTTGAACTCGAAAAGAAAAATTGCACCAGATGGAATTTAAATGGCAATGAAGACTTTATTTAAGATTATTGTAATTATTGTAAAGCCCATTGCAATAGCAGTGAGTTTTACCTCCTCTTTTCTGAAATAAAATCCAGGGGATATTTTAAGGGCTGGGGTGAGCTAGTGGGAAAAGTACTGGAGGGGAGGCTGGTCTATACTATTAAGCCACCTAAGTTTGCTAATTGGTGCTTATAGAATAAAGTTAGGCTCCAACTTCCCATAGAGACAAAGAGATAGGCTTACTGTTATTCTCAGTGATTATATTTCAAAGAGGTGGCTCCAAGGTCTTTGGGGAAGACATTCTTGGGTTGTAAAACTGTCCAGAGACTAGGGAAAGATTTGTATCTCAAGAGGACAGAGAAAGAATTTATAGCCACAAATTTTCTAAAGTAAATGCTCTAAGAAAAGAGAGTCCAGGGCCCTTTAATCAGGAAGATACATCTATAAATTTAGTCAAGCTGAGGGGAATGTTTAGGCCATCTTGATCAACACAGATGTTTTCTCATTTTTTTTTTTTTACTCTCATAACTTCACTGTCCCAAAAACTAATAGAAGAGAACCAGGAAACAAAGTTATAGGAAGTAAAAGAATTAGATGTGAAAAAAATTTGTATCATTTAGAGAAGGAGACCTGTAAGTGTGAAATTTACCTGGGTCGTGGGAAAATATTCAATTCATTTCTGTGATCAAGGAGTTTCTAAGATAGGGGCCTCTTATGTTTCAATTGCAGGAGGATGTCCTAGCATTAGTAGATGCATTGGTACATGCTAGGTGCTCAAAACTCTTGTCTCATGTAGACATGTCTTAGGACATTTTCTTCTGAGACAAGAAAAAGCGCATTGCTCTTCCTGTCTTTATTTTAGGTATCTCCAGGGAAGCATTTGAAACAACCACTGCTCCTGGAAATTCTACCACAGGTAAGTAAAATAATAATAAATGAACTTTTTTTGGTGACATCTCAGAAGACAGACCAGCTTATCTGAAGACAAAGTCTAGCTTCTCCAGTCCCCTATACTTACTGCTTTTGTAACTCCCTTAGCAGCCACTGCTTCCATTGGAGTCAAGGAAACCTCTGGAACTAGAATGCAAACAGGTGACTGCTGGCAATACAAATTCCTCAATGATCTGTGCACCTATGATTATATATGAGGAGTTGGGTTTGGGGAGAGGAAAGCTAGAAGAAACAGGAGAGAAAGGCCAGGAAGATTTTCCCAAAGTTTTGGAACATGACTTTGAAGTTCATTTATATATATATATACGTATATATATATATATATATATATATATATATATACGTATATATATATATA